ACATTTTGGACTTCCTCTCAAGAACCACTGGGCCAATTTCAATTAAACTTGCCACAAAGTATCCTTGGGTGAAGGGGATTCAAGTTTCTTCAAAAATGAAGGGCCACGCCCTCATTCAAGGGGAGATAATTCGGAAATCAATGAAAATTTGGTGGCATATTTTTAAAATCTTCTTCTCTAGAACCACTGTGCCAGGAAAGATGAAACTTATGGGGAAGCATGCTCAGGTAGTGTAGATTCAAGTTTGTTCAAATCTTTACCCCTGTGGGTAGGACGGGGCCAAAATGGCCGACCAAAAATTTACATAGAAATATATAGGAAAATTCTTTAAAAATCTCTTTCTCAAGAATGACAAAGCCATAATTCATCATATTTATATGGAAGCATGCTCATGTAGTATAGATTCAAGTTTGCTCAAATCATGACCCCTGGGGGTAGGGCGGGGCCAAAATGGCCGACCAAAATTTTACATAGAAATATATAGGAAAACTCTTTGAAACTCTTCTTCTCAAGAATGACAAATCCATTATTGGTCATGGGACTACTTTTGGATTTAAACTTTACAATAAAAAGCCATTTTCTACTTTTCCCTAACCTTAGTGCTCAGGTGAGCGATGTGGCCCATGGGCCTCTTGTTTTTTTTTTACTAATGAAGAGTATAATCGATATTACACAGCAGATATTACACAGCAAATAAGTGATGATTTCTACATGATATATTATGAAAAAGTACAATGCCACAACATTGCACATATATTTTTTATCAATTGTTTTGAGCACTTCTTTTGCAGAATACAATATATGTTAGGTTATCGAAAATATATTCTGTTTCATACTTGGATATTTTACTTGCAAAAGACGCTAATGGTTATCTAACAACCAAACTATATGAAAAACGTGATGACTTTTACTTTTCTATCATAACTTCCCTTACTTTTGCAGCAATATACCTTCATCACCTTCATATGGAGTATATAAATCTCAGTTTATTCAATATGCAAGAGCATGTTCTACGTATGAACCTGGCACCTGATCCCACCTCTGATGTTTGGGGGTCCGTGTTTGCTCTCCTATTTTGTATTGTTTTATGGACTTTGAGATTGAATACTGTTCGTTATCTACACATCCTTCTTCTAAAAAGAGGTAAATTATTGACAAGCAAGTTGATGAAACAAGAATATTTGTCTCGTTTAAAGTCATCAATTCGTAGGTTCTACGGTCGATAAAATAACCTTCTCGGCAAATACAATTTATCATTGAGTCTAATGCTGACTGACTTTTTTCATACCAATTGTTAGTCCATTATTTGACGACGGATGTTTTCGTTATTTCCTGATCATGACAAGGAGCACACGGCGGGTTTGACAGGTCGGCAGGGGATGCTCACTCCTCCATAGCACCTGATCCCACCTCTGATGTTTCGGGGGTCCGTGTTTACTCTGCTCCTATTTTGTATTGTTTTATGGACTTTGAGATTGAATACTGTTCGTTATCTCCATATCCTTCTTTCACTGCTTTTACTATTTTTTTTCTAATAAAAAGTGTTTAAATATGACTTCTTTTTTAAAAGTCATTTTTAACGATGACTTACCTCATTGTTTTTATATTTGTAGATCCTAAAGTTGCAAGACAGATCGGTAGGAGAATTTTCTAACATGTTATTAAATAATAGATAAATCCCAGATTATTTCACATATTCTAAAACATCTACATCAGTTTGTTAAATAATGCATTTTGTTTAACTTATTATATTTACATTCGCAAATATCTTTCTTATATGAACCTATTGAAGAGAAAATTACTTCAATTCTGTGTTAATTTCATTTGGAAGTCAGACGTCATAGCGCGACCGGATCACAGAGCGATGTGATGTTTTGCCAAACCAACTTCTAGGTCATTACGAGTTACTACATATAAATACGTTGGCCCGTTCGAGTAATAAATACAATTTAACTCGAAATGTATTCGTTCATATTCCGGCTTCACAGGATTTGATCACGTGACCAACAAAAAGTTCATTTCCAAGAGAAATTCTTAACATCGTTGTTTATTTCTTAAGAAACGATTACAGCAAGAAAATTTAGATATAGGGTTTGTCAAGCTCTTTAAGCCTCATAGCTAAAGGGAATGTGATATTCGTTATTCCTTCATTTCTTTATTCATGGGAAACTACAAAAGACTTAGATATCAAAATTTTCGAAGTTTTTTTTGAAAGAAAATTCTTTCATTTGATTGGTTGATTGATTGATTGTATATTGTTTAACGTCCTCGAGAGAATTTTTCATATGGAGACGTCACTGTATGCCGGTGACGGGATTCAAATTTAGACATATACTATACTCGGCACTCAGGGCCATTGAGCAGTGAGGGTTCTTTATCGTGCCAGCGCCTACCGTGACACGGGACCTACGTTTTTAAGGTCATATTCGAAAGACCCGTGACTTTCACTTCTAGTGCCGAGCGCTTGGCGAAGGAACAGTCACTACCTTTGTTTACGTCTTAGGTATGACGCGGCGCCGCGAACGAGAATCGAACCCGGGCCTCCCGATCACGAAGCGAACGCTCTACCACTAGGCTACCGTGACCGGTGTCTTTCATTTGAAAACACCTATGATAGACACTGTTCCTTAGATGACCGTTTCTGCAATAAGGAAAATTAAAACATGAATAACTTTTTGATTAGGAGTCCGCATTAAAGATATTTTAAATAAATCATTTTTTTTTTTTTGCATATTGCATATTTTATTTGTATGTTCAAAGAACACATGAAAATATAGTTTGAAAGATTTTTTTTTACATATTTAATACAATATTTTCTAGTTTTTTTTTTAATCTTAAACTCCAAAGATTTTAGGAAACGTAACAAATGTACATTTTTTCTTAGATATATCTCCATTGAATACTAGGTAAACAAATTCTGAAATCTTATAAACATTAAGTCCCTGTATTTTAAAGATGATAATTATTTCTTTTCAGAAATTACCAAGCAAATGATACAAAAACATTATGAAGCTGTGTGTCCTCTATTTGTAAAAACTCGTTCGTTTGACAGAGTGAAGGAACTATTGGATAATAACGGGTTTGTCATTATCAAGGGTAACCCCGGAGCTGGTAAAACCACGATAGCCAAGATGTTAATGAAAGACTTGATGGATGATGGAAAATCTCCTCTTCAGCTTTACAAATTGACAGATTTGTATGGTAGCATATCACCGGGTGATGGTATAGTCTTATTTATTGACAATTTATTTGGAGAATTTTCCTTGTCCCGTAATGATGTTCAGGAATTTAAAGCTATGAGAGGGATGATACAAGTATTGTCTGCGAGAGACTTTGATAAAAAATCAAATAGCTTGATATTTGTATTAAGAAGCGATATATATAAGGAATACGCACGAATCGGGTGCGATGACGATTTTTTCCTGTCGTCCTTGGTTGATCTGTCAAGCAAGGAAAATTCACCGCTAAAAGACGAGATCCTACAGCTGTCACAAAAATATGACATATCAAATAACTTTGATGAGGACAAAGAACTTATCAATAAGGTATATGAAATGTCATTTTCTATAGGGTTTCCTCAATGTTGTAATTTGGCAAGAAGCAATGCAGCTTTTAAACAAAATATATGTGCCTTTCTTCCCAATCCAATAATGTTTTTTAGAGATTACTTAAACAATATCATGAAAAATCGAACGGCAAAAATCGCTGTTTTAGTGTATCTTCTCTTAAAAGGGGGAACAGTAGATATCGAATTGATGGATAACCCTTATCTGGATTTGGATATGAAACACGCCTCTTTACAATTCTTAGGTCTACCAAACTCATTAATTAACGATTTCCAGGACAGTGTTAATTGTTTTGAGGGGTTTTTAATTACTCATGACACGATAGAAAATACATATAAATTTTCCCATAGTTCAGTACAGGAATCTCTATTCAGCGTCTTGTTTAAATTTGATCCTGAAAAAATGATCCAAATGTGTCATCCGTCCCTACTTATGACACTAACGACATGTAAAAAGCCAAAAAGCACACAAGTATACATACAACAAAGATTGTTTAAATGTGTTGCCTGTCGCATAGCAAATATCATTGCAGAAAGGACTGTGATTGGGTATTCTTCCATATCATTACTGGAATTATGGAATGATTCAAACTTCCATGAGCACATATTACAAACTGAACAATGCACTTCGAAATTTAAAACATGTCATGATTTCAAGGGGGATTCAATGATTGTGCATTTTACAAAAGCGGGAAATAAGCGATGGGTTGATTACCTCTTACCGAGTTCAGACAAGAAAACAAGATATAAATCACTGAATTCCGCTTGCTCAAAAAATCAACACGACATTGTTCATCTTATTTTGTCATCGGATGTGGAATGTGATCTTCAAACGTGTTTTAATGCTGTACAAAGTGGCAATACAGAGTTATTGCTCCGAGTTTGTGAGTGTGTTGATCTTCGTCAAGTTTCTCATTCCTTGCACCCTACCTGGAGACATATAAGACACAGCTTACTCCAGGAAATCTGTTTTATGCAACAAACACAATTAATTGAAAACGTTCTGGAAAAATACACATTCCTTGTAGAAATAAAATCTAAATTTGATGCTGATGCATTACATTCCGCAGCAAGCTCTGGAGACAAACATGCATTTAATCTTCTGCTCAAGTTTGGCTTTGATCCATATAGAAAAGACCGATACATTGGCCATACAGTTCTAACTTGTGCTTGTCAAGATGGTAAGACTGATATGGTAAAATATCTTGTTGAGACATATCCAGATTTACTCAAGGAACACACTGATTTTCAAGGAAATAGTCTCTTGTATTGGGCAGCTTTCAGTGGGAATATAGATGTGTTTGAATATATTTTGAACCTCTTTGAAAATGAAAATGAATTTCATACATCAAATAGCATAACACCAACGGTTGATGGGAAAAATAAATTGGGTGAAACTATTCTACACGCTGCATGTGAAAATGGTCATTATAATATGGGTGAATATCTGTTGAGCAAATACCCGCAACTACTGGATGTCTGTAGCACTGATGGTTACAATGTCCTCCACGCCGCTGCTCTAGGAGGCAATGTAGATCTCTTTAAGTATTTATCAAGTAAAGGATTAAATGTCTATTGTAAAACAAATAATGGGGTGACTGTGTTTCACATGTGTTGTGATGAGGGTAGAGAGGAAATGTTTAGGTATCTTGTAAATAGGTATCCAGGTTTAACATCTGTCATAGATAATAAAGGATGGACAGCGTTACATTCAGCTTGTAAGGTAGGAAGTGTTGAAATTGTTTCTTTTCTTATAGAAAAAGGGATAGATTTCAATGCCTTGTCAAATAAAGGTAAAACACTCTTGCATAGAGCTTGTCTCAATGGGAAGTTTGAAGTTTGTGAGTATTTAGTTGAGAATTATCCCCATCTATTAGACGTCAGGGACAAATCTAGTAATACAGTGTTGCATGATGCAGCCTGGGGAGGCAATGTTCATATAGTAAAATTATTGATTGAGAAAAAGATGGACATCAATGCACTACAGGGAGGTGGTGAATCAATTTTACATCAGTGCTGTCGTTCTGGTAAAATAGAGATGTATGAGTATTTGGTCAATCATTATTCAGAGTTATTGGAGATAAGAGACAATTTTGGATTGACAGTGTTACATTCAGCTTGCTGTGGAGGAAGTGTTGAAATTGTTTCTTTTCTTTTAGAAAGAGGAATGAACATTAATGCCTTGTCAAATAAGGGTAAAAATATCTTACATATAGCCTGTATCAATGGGAAGTTTGAAGTTTGTGTTTACTTAGTTGAGAATTACCCCCATCTATTAGACGTCAAAGACAAATCTAGTAATACAGTGTTGCATGATGCAGCCTGGGGAGGCAATGTTCAAATAGTAAAACTCTTGATTGAGAAAAATATGGACATTAATGCCCAACAAAGAGATGGAGAAACAATTCTACATCAATGCTGTCGCTCGGGTGAGATGAAGATGTGTGAGTATTTGGTCAATAATTTTCCAGATTTATTGGAGATAAGGGACAATACGGGGTGGACAGTGTTACATTCAGCTTGTAACGGAGGAAGTGTTGAAATGGTTTCTTTTTTGTTACAAAATGGATTGGACTCAAATGCTTTGTCAAATGATGGTGAAAATATTTTGCATATTGCTTGTATGAATGGTAAACATGATGTTTGCAAATATTTATCAACAAATTACCCAAACTTGTTAGATGTCAGAGACGGTCATGGTCAATCAGTGATGGATATTGCTACTGAGTGTGGGGACATAGATATGATTCATTTGTTGAGAGAAAAATGAGAAAAGAAATCTTTATTTAATTTTATTCTTTACGAAAGAAATGCTGTGAAACTTTCCTAAAGCACTTGATGTACAATGGTTATTTTCACAAAGTTTGAAAAACAGTTTTCCCCCTTGTAGGTCACGGGTATAAAACTTTAACAATGGAAATAAATGTTTGGAGATATTCATGAATAATAGTTTCCTTGACATTATTTGGGTAAAGTTTTGAAAACATTCGCATTGGTATATTGGTGTTTCTTTTCTTTTCTCTTTCTATGCATATATAAGAAAGAAGTCATTTTAAATAAGATGAAGATAGAGAGATCAATATCATACATCCTCAAGAAATTGAGAACAAGACCAGAATACGGCCCCTTAAAATCTCCAAAGAGTTTTTAAATTTTTACGAGTTGATGGACATCAACTCAGTTATGTTCTTACAAATGTTGACCTAATTTAACCAAATAACACACCTCGTTTATTCAGTTCCTTCTACGATAAATTGTATCACATCTTGAAAAACTCTACATAAATAAAAGCGAACATATACATTGAAGACGATGTCAATGTTTCTTTTTTGAAAGGAAATTTATTTTAAGTACATGTATAAACAATAACATTTGCATTGACATGCCTTATTGTGTCGGTCCGACAAAAAATATTTAAACCGCCGAAGAATGAAAGTGTATTTCGTCACTTCTCATATTCCTATATGTGTATATATGCCTTGTCGATTTTTAACATTTTTCAAACTAATTGCATAAAATATTGGTTAATTTTTCTGTGCCAAGTTCGTTGGGGTTTATACAAATGACATATATTAGGCCTAATATAGAGATCGAACTACTTTTTCATATTCATACGCACCATGCTACTTTGTTTTGTAAACAAAACACGCAAAATCGGCAGCACAACAGTGACTTCAAAAGAAATTGACGGGACTGTGGAGGCTTACCAGGAAATTTTTAGAAGGTACGTAAATGTAAATACATGTACATTTAAATATAGTTGCACGTGTTGCTCTGAAATATAAACTTAGCCAGTAGTTTATCGATAGGATTTCGTAAGCGGTATGGTACTGACCGAGTAAACATAAGTGCCACCTTGTTTTCGCGGCTTCAGGGGCCTGATTCTATATGATTTTTTCTTTTTGTTTTGTCCACATAAGTAGCTTCCATTGTGGTAATGAGGCAACTGCCTCACTAGAAATATTATTTCAAGTCTTTGAAAACACACAAAACAGCAGTCGTGCGACAGGACATGCCATAGAATTTTCGACTAGATTTCCACTTTCTTGAGAGAATCGGTCATGTTTTAGTGAAAATCGAATGAATATTTTTCTGCATGCAATGAAACTAAACGAAATTATCCAAGATAATATTTCTACTTGTTGTATTACACGAAAAATACGATGAGAACGAAGCATCTGTTGGAACGACGCCATTTTTATTTTAGCCAGGAGCGGATCAAAATCCACCACAAGCACCTGTTTATAATAAATCTGGAATAAGTTATTTTAATTGATTTATGTTTACTCATATCGCTTCAGAAAAATATTGACAACTTTTTTAATGTAACTTAACAGGGTGAAACTGTCTTATTTATCAATTTTCATTAAAAAATAAAAAAAAAAATATTCATAAATGGGAATATGTGAAAAAAAAATACGCATGTTCTGGATGAGTACAACGGCATCCTGTATCATAATACTGTTGAATTAACAATTTGAGATGTAAAAAAATAAAGATCAGATCGAGATTTTGATGATCTTAAAGATGATTATGTTGACTATGTCAAGGGCTCAAAAAGAAAAAGACAAAATTTTCTTGAAAATATCAGGTTCAAAGAAAAATTGTCAAAGCAAGTCTCAGCTATTTCTTGCATTGCAGCAGATATGCATCAAGCATCAAACAATTTCTCAGAAGATAGTAAAGGTAGACAGTGTACGTGTTGGTAATGCACTTGTAAGCATTTTGTATAAAGAAGTGGTTCGAATTCCTACAGAGGATTGGAATTCAAGTGATCTTAATTTATTGCTTTGGAAAGATGATGATTTACATTTAAGATGTTATAATAAATAAAATACCTTTCAAATCTTCCATTTTACTTCTTATTTTATAAGTTGTTTTGATTAGAATTTAAAATTTGTTATTTTTCTAGAAGTATAAACCACAGGGGCCAGAGCATAAAGGTTCCTGGGAGGATTTGTTTACGAAACCTTTTTCACTGCTTCTGGAGGTTTGTTGGTTAATTTCTCATTCCGGAGAAAGAGGCACTTTTAAAATGTCATAATAAATGAAATACCCTTCAGATCTTCATTTATACTTGTTATTTATATGTCGTTTTAATGATAATGTAAAATATTTTATTTTTCTAGAGGTATACACCACAAAGGCAGAGCATAAAGGATGGCTGGAAGATTTGATAAACTTACTGTTGTAGGATAACAATTTCAAGCATTGATATATATTAGAAAATTGTGCTGTCAGTCTTTTGTATGTTAGAGGACAAGCTTCCCCTTGAAAACTGGAACAAATGTGAAATGAAGAATGTGTATCTTCATATTGAGAACTTTTCCTTGTAAAATTACATCTGGGAAAAAGTTTATTTCATATCAATTTATTGTGTTCATTATCTGGTTTAATTTTATATTTGTAATTGTTTTAAAATTGTATGGCGAAACACTTTTTGCTCACCTGAGTCAAAAGCTTAAGTGAGTTTTTTGATCCGATTTCTTTGTTGTCTGTTGTGTTGTAAACTTGTTACAACTTAATTTTTGTTCAAATGATGCCCCTTTCCCCCTGGGAGCTTGAGACCATTTATAAAGTTAAACTTTTCAAAATGGAACTGATATCTTTTTTTTTTCAATCCGAGATACTCAGGTGAGTAATGTGGCAGACGGGCCTCTTATTATATTAGATATGTACATTGATTCACAAGTATGTACTTTGTAGCGACATCAATTAGAAGCAATATCATTTTAAAACCACAGTTTGATAGCTGACATTTTATTTTCAAGAAAATGTTTGAGGTATATGTTTATATATATTATATTAATTTCATGTTTGTGAATTTCAAAACCGATTTTAGCTACAATTTACATTGGAAAAAAATGCAGTTGTCCAACTTATGTCTATTGTGTGTCATGAAAGAAAAATCTTACAGCTTTTTGTGATATGCAACAAATATTTCACCGTGATAATGTGTTTTTGCAACAGTTGTGAAGTGTATATGCTCAAGAATATAATAATTAGTTTTCTCCTGTGTCCCAAAACTGTGTTAGTTCTTTGATTATTGTAGCATTTATTTGTAAATCAGGGTCCTGTGTAAAACTTCTGATTAAGATTACACACATTTTGCATTCCTAATGCTCGTTACACTTGTGAGAAAATTATGAACAAAATTGTGCCATCAACTTTCTCTTTCTAAAAAGAAAATCATTTTCTTGTATTTTACTGTATATTGTGCTTTTACACATTCAAACTGGAAGACTGCAATGTTAAAAAAATCTTATATGATAAGTATAACAATAGTTATTGTCAAATTGATTATGAAAATATTTTTTTAAAGGGATATTACTTTTGCTGTATCCACATTAAGGACATTCAGATACTGTTGTACCATGATAGTTATGAAAGAGCGTTTCATGTCATTTGTTAAAATAGGGCAGTAATACACAATAAATGTATAATTATAATGTAAAAAGAAATGCTTTCCTTATTATTTCACATGACATTATTTGTTTATGGGATTTAATGATACAGTGCATCATCTCATGAAATTGACATCAGAAATCAAATGGAAGTCTAAATTTCTGCTATTTTTTAAATGGCAATTTCATTTCTTTATCAGCAAAGCAGTGTTCAGTTTATAAGCTTGAACAACCATCAACTCGTATCAGTACTTTCAGTACTTTGATTTATATACGGTAGTTTATCTGCAGAGCGATCACTATTCTAACCTTCATCTTTTTCATAAGATTCCTTCCAGGTAGACATATTGCCCTTTAAATCGAATTTTAGGGTTTGTAAAATTTCAAAATAAGTGAAGAAATAAAGAAAATATATTTTGAATTGTTTGAAGTCCCTGCAAAGATTCTGTATCATGTCTTTTATTATTATTCTGTGCAAAGAAAATACTTTGATTGCTATTATGATGATTTTATTTTGTTTTTGTTTTTGTTTGTTTGTTGTTGTTTTTTTTTAAGGGGGGGGGGGGGTTAATGGGAAACCAAACTGTACAAGACTTTTATTTCCATGGAAATTTGGTGTTTGTGCTTTATTTTATAGTTAAAAAATGTAAAAGTCGAATAAGTTATTTAATGTTTATTTCTGAAAATTGACGCTTATGCTAAAAGGGTTGAATATTTTATTCCGTTCATTTATGTGCTAAACTATATTCTTTGTCAATGTAATTTACATGAATAGAATAGACACACTGGAAATTAACAATTTTGATTTAGCATATATGTTGTAATGGTCATTTACACACTGTGAAAGTTATTTACAACTAAAGTACGTGTTCTAGATTCAAAGATATACTTCAAAAGATTGGATGTGAAGTTTGTATATGCCGATTTATATTTATATATATGTTTTAGTTATGTTTTAATGGAACTTTATGAAATAAGTACGAAACGACTGAATGTAAAGTATGTGTATGTTCTTTTTATTTCATTTTTGTGTATGTTATATTTTATTTCTATTACAATTTGTCATGAAATATGCGTAGCATTAAATTTTTATTTCATGTATTTATTGTAATGATTTACATATTATTTTGGTCATATTCTTTTTTAATGAGACTATTGGTAATAAAATTCCCTATACAGAGGATAATTATTTTTAACGAGGCTAACGAGCCTTATAGGGTACCTGAGCGTCATGTGAAAATGATTATCATAAAATTCATGCATTTTCATTCTAAAATCCTTAGAGCCCCGCTTTAACATCACAACTCCTGACCCGAGGGTCATGAAATTAAAACTTTTGGAAGAGAAATCTTTTCTCATTATTACTATATACATACTTTGTTGGTTTGATACCCAAAAACAGTGAAGTAGATATTTAGAGAGTCAATAAGTTTTCACTATTTAAACTTCGTTATCTCCAATCCTCGGTTATCTCGAAGTTTTTTCTCAGTCCCATGAGGTTCGACACAATTAAGGTTGAGTGTATTTTAATGGAGTGCAAATTATTCAAATTTCAAAATCAACATCAAATTTAAAAAGTATGAACTCAAACATTGGATTTTTTCTGGAATTAAAAGTTAATATACTCTTAAGGGTTGGTAAATAACGAATTTCATAGAATCACAGACTTAGTTCCTTCATTGATTCATCTGATTGCATCTTTAAACATACAAAATAATTCAAAGAAGTTGTGTCTAATAC